AAGTCCGTCTCGTAGCGTAAGACGCTCTGCGCACTCGAGAATCTGTCTGACAAGGTTTTGCACGAGAGGTGAAGACCTTCTTTCATGGAGTAAGCGTCGGTGGATGAGGAGCAGACCGGTGAGCTGCCATATCTGATTCGATATCCGGTATTCGTGAACTTCGGCAACAGATAGAACGCGACCGCGTATTGACATAACTGGCGGAGGATTCGCTTGATCTCGGTCGATTATGGATTGCAGATAGTTGAGAAGCCACCAGACCTCGGCCTCGACTTGACCGCCTTGCGATGAGGTCTCAGAAACTGTTCCATCATTGTTGATCCGCCGTAGTCGTGCAATCTCTTTGAACACTCCAAGGAGGTCCTTTGTACGCGAGAGATACATATCGATATACACAGGCTCGTCATCTGTGTCTGATGCGAGCGTTGTTGGCGAGGGGATGGTCGACTGTTGTGGAGCGAGTTCAGTCATCGAGTGACAGACCAGCGACTCGGTCATGTCAAACCATCGTAGTAAAAATCGCAATTCGTCCGTCGGGTTCTGGGAAAGACCTTTATCGTGGATTCGCGAAATGAGCCCACGCGCTCCGCGGAAGTGAACGCTCCATCGATCCGGGCTGGGCTCACTGGCAAAGACTTCGCAAACGAAGAGCGCTCTTGATGCGGCCAGCAGGGGAATGAGTTGCTGATCTTCATCACACTCGGAGAGTTTCTGGCAAAGGGATCTAGAACTTAGAGCTTGAAAGCCAGCGACGATGAGCGCTTGTGAGGACTGCTCCTCGCTGGTTTTGCAAGTCGCAAGTCGGTGAGTGGCGGCCAGCGCGACGATGCCCTGCAGCAAGGGCTCATTGAAGACAGCCATTGGCAAAATGAGTTCGCATAGCTCATCAAAGATCTGTGGATGTGGTGCAAGAACTTTGACGGTCCTCTCGGTGAAGTACTGTAGGCCTGATCGATGCAAGGGTGATAGGTGACCGAAGAACTCAACGGATGGGGTTAGAGGAGACATTGGCATTTGCCTCTGACTGACAACAAGTTGAGAAGACTCCGAGTCCTCTGATGGAGAAGTTTGTATCCATTCTGGCTCATCGACGTTCTGATCTGGAGGAGGCGATGTAGCCTTTGACGGGCCTGGTCTGGGAGTAGAAGGGGAAACATATATGAAGTTTTTCTTGTTCAAATCTGAGAGTGTTAGTATGTATCTTATGTAGTAGACAATTGACATGCCTAATCTTTGAACGTTGCCTTCATTTTGTGACAAACAATCCCCAAACGGTGACCGATTAAATGGCCTCCCTCCCCAGCGGAGCTTCACCCCGTATTCGCATTTGACCCCAGCAGTCTGACATCTCTGACACGAAGGTCTCTCTTCACTGCACTTCTTTTTAAAGCTCTTACACCTCGCACAACCAACCCATGATCGACGCTGCGGTGGCATCACAGGGGCTTTGAGTTTGGGGCACAAAGCAAAACATGCTGCTTTGGGGTTATGTCATTTGCTGGGGAACAAATGAGGGCGGGGGAAAGTTAAGTTGGTGATGGAACGGTTCAAGGCGGCGAATGGAGATAAGGCTAGAGACTGCGCTAGTACGGAGTGGGAAGGATCAGGCGACTGATTGCTTATCTGTGTCACCTGCACTGATTGTCTTGAACCTGAGTGGCTGCTCTTATCAGCAATGATAAGAAATGGATGGGTACGCCATCATAGACTGGACATCTTCAATTTCTCGACTATCATGAACTTGAGTATGTATTATTCAAGTAATCAATTGACTGTCTGTCGATATTGCTAAGCTGCCTTTCAATGTTGGGACCAAAAGCACTGAAGCACAATCGCTCCTGTTTGTCATCCATGGTATACCAAACACCTCCACCATTGAAACAAACATCCTCTGTTAGCTGATTCGGCAGGATGCCTGGATCAACTAGTAGGCAAACCGAAAGTCCAGTCTCTTATTGCCCTCATCCTTTGTGGTGTCAAGATAATGCTTCTTCTGTTCATCGTCCATGGCGTCCCAAATCTTATCCCGGCTCTTGTTTCTCCAGATGTAGTAGGTTCTGGTCAACAAATACAACGTGATGTTGAGCGCAATGATCGCTAAAAGATTCTTGTTTCCTTCCCGGTATCTCGGCGCGTCGTCTTTGCGGTAGACGTTGGATGCGATAATACCGGCAGATTGAACGGACATGTTGTAGACAGCTGCCGAGACTGTCCTCAGACGAACCGTATTGGAGTTGCGCGAGTTCCAACTCACTTGAATTGGATGGGCTAGAAAGATAATGTTAGTCGGCGATAGGCAAGTCAAGGGAGTAGCAAACTCACCAGTCGGAGAACCAAGCAATAGTGTCAACACCGCGAACGAGACCCATCTGTTGACCGTGCTCATGTCCACGACGTATAGATAGATCATGAACGGCAGTTTCCAGATCTGAACAGCTAGACCAAGCAGAGACCTTTCACCCCACTTCTCAGCAAGGTATGAGATCAGTAGCAAGCCACCAATGGAAAGTATCGTATGCGGAATGGTCAAAAGATTGGTGACAAGAACATTGAAGCCAAGGCCACGGAGGGTTAAGGTGAAGTACTGGGCGGGAGGTGTGGCTGGGATCAAGAAGGTCAAACCGATGGCATAGATTGGCCAGAGGTCATAGTCCTTGAGCGACGCCCATAGCAACTTCGGAGTAATGGGTTGGCGGTTATGCATGTCGCCCTTGCTGGGATCGTCCCGGATGACTCGGTTCACCATGATGCGCTCCTCCCTGCACGCCAGTCAGTCTCGAAGGTCTATCCATCTCTGGTGCAACTTACCGCTCAGTGAACCAACCGTTCTTGCCACGGAGAATGCCTGAGGTTTGAGTGGGCCCAGCGGGCATCAGAAACCAGGCGGAAATGCCAACCGCAAGCGTTAGCAGACCCTGTTTGGTACAAGTCGTCAGTACAGTCGTTGATGCAAAGAGTTCGGACAATAAACCTCAAAAAGAAACAGCCATCTCCAGCCCTCGTACCCGTGCCAGCCTCGCAGTTGGAGGAAGCCTGCTCCGAGAAAACCACTGATGATATCGGCGACGTTGTACGCCGTCCAGAAGAAGGCCAGACGAACAGTGAGTTCACTCGCAGTGTAAAAATAACTCAGGTATAAGATCGTCTACAAACATCACAGCACAACGATTAGTCGCGGCTACTAACACTTGGACAGGACTGCGTCATTAGCTACTCACATCCGGGATAAATCCGCCCTGGAAGATGGCCAGTAAGGCACGGCATGCAAGAAACGAAGCCCTTCCGTCCAACCAGAACTGACCCTACTCATATTGTCAGTATCAATAAGGACTCTAGGTATCCAATTACCTACCGCAGAGACAAGACTCCAGAGGCACAACTGCATTGGAATCCAACGGTCAGGTCCGAGGTACTTGCTGACAAGCTGAGAGGGAAGCTCGGCACACAAGAAAGATAACTTGAAGACGGTGTTTCCAAGATTGTAATCTAACAATTCAAAGTCAAAACGATGAAAGAATATGGTATGAAAAAGACTAACCATTGGTGTCCATCTTCAGGTCTGGCAGAAAGTTATCGGACACAGCCTGGGACAAATTCGATCGATCCAGCTCAAGAGCCATAAACATGACGCAAGTGAATATCATGATCCGTTTATCAATCTTTCGAATGACCTTACGTTCTTCATTGAATGTCCATCTCTCGGAAGGGTCAAATCGATGCAGATTCTCCCAGTCAGATCGGGGCTGGTAGCGCCTCGCCATGTCTGGGTCGTCAAAGACGGACCGACGGGTTGCAACAGCCTCTCCATCTTGTCTCGGCCGTCGCTGCCACCAACTTCGAGGTTCCTCTGGTGCAGCGAGGGGAAGTGTAGCGATGAGAGGGGTTACTTTTGTGGAGGGAATGGACTTGGAGGAGTCCGAGTCGGTTGGGTCGATACGGAGGCCAACAGCATTCTTGACGTCTGACTGACGAACATCATCAGACTGTGCCATTGCGAAGATCAATTTGTTATTTGGTCCTCTTCAGTAGTCTTTTTGCAATCATCTTGGATGTAATACCGCCTTTTGTATACATCGACGTTGGCATATGCGATGGCGAAATCCATGTTCCTCATCTCGAAAGACTCAACTTCGTGGGGTTACTCATGTATCTATGGCGTCAAGCATGGATACAATAGCGAGATGTAGGGGTTGCTTCTGATGGTATTATTTGGCTTCATTCCTGACTATTGTTCCATACCCCCCCTGAAATCGTTGTTGAGACATGTGTGTCTCGATAGTGGACACTTCAAGCTTGCAAGTGAAAAGTTAGCACACACGAATGGCCAATTGGCCGATAACGTCTTTTCGGGTCTGTTGTACCTCTCCGGTACTCGGTCTAAACTGTATTTCAGTCGTCCTTGGCAAAGATCTGTAGTTCACGACAGAACTGGGAGGTATTGCACCATTGCTCGAACAACCACTCAACAGCTTGGGATTCCACTGCCAAGACAATTTCTCAATATTACGCCATTCCCTCCTCCCCGAAAATAAGCATAAGTTGATAGCCGCTGGTCAAATTTCACCTCACCGAAACTATGGTGGTTCGCCTATCTCTGGCGCTTCGTCGCCTCGCATCTCGGGTCGGATCTCGCCGCCTACGAGCTCCGAAGAGCAGAGACGAACCGGAGCATCACAATTTAAGGATGGGACTACCAAATATGGCCTTTTTAGTATATCTCCGCGGATTACTCTATTTGCATTTCGGAGGCAAGATGACGTGCTTCCGGCCGAGGTCTTGAACCTGCCTGCCGAGGTACTCAACGTTCTGGTTGGTGTTGTTAAATCAGGCAGAGTTTGATGTTATAAGTATATCTCTAGAATTAAGATATAGTTTCTATAAGTAGTAAATCCTGTATTAAGGTTTTGAATATACAGTCTTAAAGCTTAAGCCTTAAAAGACTTATTATATAGCCGTTTTAAAAAAGTTTCTTTTTCTTTAATTTTATGTTAAAGGATGAGTTATATTTCTTTGGACAAACTTTCAACGCCATCAGCAATAGCAGTCCAAGTATCATGAAACACTAACTTGGGCCGATAATTCAACAACAACGAGCCTCGAGCAGGTCGAACAATCGCAAGGGTGATAGTGCTCAGTAGAGAAGGGTCTGTAGCCACCACCGATTCGAGGCTCCCCGTAAATCCATTCAAAGCCTTTTGTATTGCAACGAGACTTCTGTTGAGCCTCCTCTGTTCCTCGAGCGCTAACCTCAGAATCGTTTTCCCTTGTGAGCGTTTGTGTATCGAAGCTCCCTCGTCCAGAAGAACACGAACGATTTCGACAGATCCTTGCCGAGCGGCGTCTACGAGAGGCCACTGGAAGCACTCGGATACTGTGCTTACATATCTTGCATTCGGGTTCGCTCTGGCTGATAGAAGGTCTCGTGTGAGACGAACATCTAACAAAGCGATTGCGAGACCCAGTGGAGTCATACCATTCGCTGATACTATGTTGACATCACACCTTGCTTTCAGCAGCCACTTCAAAACTCTAGAATCCGCTTGTGCTTGGTCCTGGACAGAAAGGTAATGGTGTTGCTGAGCTTCAATTTGCTGGATGTTGACCCAGTCATCACCCTCTCCGGAGAACGCAGATAGTTTTAACACATCGGCTGGGCGTTCATTCGCACTTCTCGAGCTGACTGGCCAGCACTGTTCTTGAAAATAATGCTTGATATCTGCACCGCAATCAGATAGATCTGTAATCATGTCGTCCGCGTCTTTCCCACGAAACATTGCAAGGTCTAGAGCCGATAGCATAGAATCTGACCGGCCATGACCTAAATACTCGCGGACCGGATATACCCTCGCACCAGATAAAAATAGCATCTGGTATCCTACCCCCCAATGTGCATCGATCGCAATAAGTATGGGGGGCCTTCCACTCGATGAGACTTTTGCGTCTGCACCGCCTTGCAATAAGGCTCTCACCACATCAGCTTCATAGCTTTTGTTCTCGGTCATTCTTTCAATTGCCACCTGTAGCGGGGTGAGACCCTGTCGGGCGCCGTTTCTATAAGTTTCGTTGGGTTCAGCACCCAAGCATAGTAGTGTTTCGACTCCAGCTACATTCAGAAAGTCGTAGTCAACAAGTCTGCACAAGACGTCGGTGAGGCGGTCTTTGTGGCAGAAGAAACCAGAGAGATGGGATCTTGAGGCCTTGCTAAGTGTATGGACGATATCTCTACACTCTGGCCCTTTTGAATCGCATAATAAGTGATGTAAAAGCCGAAGATGACGGTTGGCATGCGCCCAGAGCGCGATGTTGTTGTTTGACTTATCATCGTCCCAGGGAAAGATAAGACCAGGAGCATTCTCACTTATCAGCTTCAAGAAAAGATCGTTAAACTTGGTCTCTTCTTGAAGATTGAAACAAGGTCGTGACGTGTGATCAAGCCAATGTGCCTCGGCATAGCTGAAAAATAATTGTGCTTCGCCTACAGTCACAGAAGATTTGGCCGTAGAAACAACTTCTAGAATCCTTCCCAAGTCAAACTTCGGGGTTTGTTGTTGTGGCCGTTGCTGTTGGATAATGGTCTTCATGAAGCAAGCAAGAAGGCTTTCTCGGGTAGTCGCATCTGATATTGTCTGCAGGGATTTGTTGTCAAAAAGGAGCTTCTTTTGACGAGCAATTCGTCGGTCGAGCTGCTCGAGATTAAGAGCAGTGATGCAAATGAAACCTATTGTTGAGTCTGCTTGGCGCAGGGTGAAGAGGAAAATCCCATGTTGACGCTTTCCGGGAGCTGGTCCAAGGCCGTGGTTATTCGCACTATCGATCTGGGGAGAACTTGATACCCCCTCCAAATTCTGTTCTTTGGAAAGGTCCTCGAGACATTCGGCCTCGCTTTCCACGAGGACATGTCTCAATGCGCTATGGTGAATGTAGTGAACAGTATTCTCCTCTTCGTCAATATAGAGCAGCCCACCGCCACAACGGTAAACCATAGCCTCAGCATCCAGCGGAAGAGTTGAGTCATCCCAAAAAGGCACACCAGGTTCAATATTAAGGGCGCTACGTAACTCGTTTTTCGTCAATGGGCGTGTAGCTGCAGTGACTATTTCAAAAATTCGACTTCCGTATCTATCATCCTTGATTCTGCCCAGGGCCTGCTCAAATGATTCAAAGAGGCCGGTAGGTAAACGATCAAGAATACGGGAAAAGTCTCCAAGAGCAGTCAGAGTCTCGCCGTATAAGGGGAATAGAGCGTTGAGTTGAAGTACAACCCATAGATACATTCCTTGAGCCCCTTGGACTAGTATATTCTGGACATGTTCCTTGGTCGCCTCGTCTAAACTCTCTGCTAGGATTCGACGACTAAGCTCTCCTTTAATGTAAGCCTCAATTTCTCGGTCTTTCCGGGAACAAGACATTGAGATAGAGTGTACGTTTTGAAGAAGCTCAAAAACCATGGGTCTGATGAAGGAGTCAAACCGCACTGAGCAGCAGATATGTAATTGGAGACGGGTCTGTAAATCCGCCAGTGGTCGGAGAACTTCTTGAGCATCTTCAGCACTTAGTTCATCCAGACCGTCCATGATAACATAGTAATGACAATGATCTGGAAAATGCGCTTTGATAAACTCGATAATAGATTCTGTGTCATTTGCCGTGTACTCTTGGCTGTATTGACGGATTGCTGGATGGTCCGCGGGGAGTCTTAGAGATCTAAGGAATTGGTGGGCTATGCTGCCAAAGAGTGTGCGAGGTAAGAGTGTCTTTCGGTCCATCGATTGACAAAAGAATGAAGCTACCGCACATAGGCCAGGCTGCGGTTGAGTGGAAAGGCTGGGCCAGAACTTGCCTGTAATATTGGCCATGGTAACCGTTTTACCACTCCCAAGCGATCCATGTATTAACAACGTTGATGAGGAGGAAGCCGATCTCCAATTCATGTATTGCTCGTCGTCGAAGATCCACTCCACAGACCCCTTCCGTCGCTCACGTCGCCAGGTACTTTCAAACTCATCTTGATGCGGTGACAACTGCCGAAGTACTTGAATGCGCCAATCCTCCGCTCTTCTCTTCCTCGACTCGCCCCACGAGGATAGACTACCTGAAATGGCCGCAATTGACGTATTGGCTTGAGCTTGGGATGCTTCATTCAAGTAAGCAAGTTTTTTGTTGATCACTTTTGACCAAAATGCCAATTGTGTCTCGAATTCCTTGAATTCTTTCTCTAAGTATGTGCTCGTAGCTAATTGAGCAAGAAAACCTTTCTTCTCGAAGCCAATGATTGTTTTGCACATCTCGATAATAACGGTTAGGTATTCGCAAGTAAGGGCCTTTAAATCTGAGTCGTGGGGAAATAAGAGGACTCGATCTCGTTGGATGATAGTTGCGTGTCCTAAACGCATGAGCAAGAGCGAAAGGCGTTCAAAATAGGATAGATGACCGGTCGCTATCTACATTTCAGACTGGTCAGGAAATTGAAGTAGTGTCAAAATGGCTAGTATTCTCACCTCAAGAGACAGTCTCACGGTTGCCCAAACGCCACTTGCGATCATGTTCTGAGATCCACCAACTAAGATGTCGCCAGGTTTGATAAGAAGCTGGATTTGATCTAGTAACTTGAGAAGTCTTGTCCCAAAAGGCTTCCAAGAGGTCTGATGGAGTCGCGAACCATCTCGATTGATTTCTTCCGTAAGACGGATGACGTCGATTTCGGAGGGAGGAGAATGCGTTTGCCATGTTTTGAAGATTGGCCGGTATTTTTCGTCAAGTGCAGAGCTGAATTCTGAGATGACCTTTGCGAGTCTTACCGTGGGGGTTAAAGGCGCCGCAGTGGGTACGGGTACCAAAGAGGACATGATGTCGTCGTTGGAAGATACCCTGGCTTAACCGCAAGGGAATTTATCCTTTTGCATGCGACACACAATACTTCTTTCGCAAAGAGAAGTGTATGTAATTTGGCTTGATCACGAAGAGGGATAAGCAGGCTGAGTTTGGAGATGAGAAAGAAGAGAGGCGGCAAGTGATTCTGTACATTGTGTTGTTGTAGTCTGCCTTATCACGTCACTGTAAGACATGTGAGGGGTTATCTGCAGGCATTTGGTTCCTGATAGGCTGTATGAAGTACATGGGGATTGAAAATGATCGGACTAATAATAAGAACTTGAGGAGTTGTATAATATTATAATTGCGGATTTAAATAGAAAAACTATTTTATAAAAACTACTTAAAGTACCTTAATTAATTTATAGATATAAATCGTATTACTATAGGGCAATTGTGGCATTCTTTAAATCAGTCATCTTAGAACTTGAACCCGTCCAGAAGATGTATTCCCCTGATTCGACTCGATACTTGGCATTGCTGTAGTAGCCAAGATCGTTCTTGGGTATCCTGAAGTTAACAACCTTACTCTGGCCTGACTTTACCTCAACCTTCTGAAAGCGGATCAGGCGTTTGTTTGGCAGCTCTATCTCGGAGTTCGAGGGTCTCTGATAGACCTGAACGACCTCCTTGCCTGTGAGGGAGCCCGTGTTGGTCACCGTAACCGAGATAGAAAAGGCGTTACCGTTCTGAGTAATCTTAGGAGCAGAGATGTCGAAGCTGGTGTAGCTGAGGCCGTAGCCGAACGGCATGGGAGCATCACCTCGTTTTAGACAGGGGAAGTTGTAGTCATATGTGGCGCAAACACTAGGAGTCTGAATGAAGCTTACGCCGCCTTGTGCGTCAGAAGGCAGATAGTCGTAGTATACTGGGAGGGCTCCCTCAGCTTGCGGCATAGTCACAGTCAGCTTGCCGCTAGGGTTAATCTTGCCCTGGATGATCTCGACTGCGCTATCGGCGGTGAACTCGCCAGCGAGGAACGTGTGGAGGATGGCGTCGGCCCGTATGGTTGAGTTGTTGAGCACAAACGACTGGCCACCACTGAGAACAACAATCGTTGGCACGCCGGCGTCGAGAACGGCGTCAATGAGTTGCTGCTGACTACCGGGGAAGCCCAAACTGGCATGTGTGAAGAATTCGCCATCCGTACGCTCGCCAGCATTTGGATCCAGAGTGTATACGGACAGAGATCCAACAGCCACAATCGCAAGGCCGGCCTCCTTTGCAGCAGCGACAACAGCTTGGATGCCCTCAGTATCACTGTCACGTACGAAAGCAATGTCAACGCCCTTGATGTACTTAACGTTCTTGGCTCCGAGCGCTGCCTCGAGGCTCTCCTTCAGCGTGCGTCCATGCAAGGGTTTCTCGCTCGTACTGGGAGCGTAGCTTCCAGGATTCAAAATGTCGGCCATGGGACCGAGGAGCGCAACCTTGGAGATCTTGGACTTGGGAAGAAAACTGTTCTTGTTCTGTAGTAGGACGATGGATTCGCGTGAAGCCTTCCGGTTGATTTCGAGATGCTTGGATGCTCGAAGCACCTTCTTGAGGTCCTTCATCGTGGGCAAGGGAAGATCAAACATGCCAGTCGCAAACTTGATGATCAAATGCTGCTTCACTGCCTCGTCTACCAACCTCACGATCTCCTGGTCGTCCGAACTGTTGACAAGAGTCGGGAATGCGGCTGGTTGTTGAGGAGCTAGCTCGAGCTGCAATCCGGCACGGAGGGCCTTAGTAGCTGCATCCTTGAGAGACGAAGCCACGAGGCTTTGGGTATGGAGATGTGGAATGGCCACGGCGTCCGACATGAGCAGGCCATCAAAGCCCATTTCAGATCTCAGCATACCCTGCAGAAGCTGTTTGTTGATTGACATAGGGACACGATCGATACTGGAATACGACACCATGATAGACGCAGGGTTTTCCTTGAGCACGCGGATGTACGGAAGGGCGAGATCGTTGTACAAGTGATTGACGCCGCCGGCCATGCTTGCAGTGTTGATGCCGCCGCCGCCTTCTCCGTATAAAAAGTGCTTGACCGTCGTGGCAACTTTGATGAATCCGTTCTTGTCTTTCTCTTCCATAGTTCGAACATACTGCGCCGCGAATTCACCGACAAGATAGACATCTTCGCCGTAGCTAGTAGAAAACCGATTAGCCAAACCTCCATGTGCACAGGAAGCCGTCAAAACCGCGAGCAAATAGAATAATGAAGTTGTAGTGGAAAAGGAGTTGCTTACGTCTCACCCACACGGCCGTATCTGGGATCCTTGGCTACGTCTAGCTCGGGACTTAGTACCCAGTGCGTCCCGAGCGCCATGTTCTCGTCTCGAATCGCTCCCGCTACTTGGCCATACAGACCTAGGTCCCATGTCGTGGAGAGTGAGAGTGTTGCTGGAAAAAGGGTCCCTCCAGGCACATAGATGGAGTTGACCGAATCTGTGACTGTAATGTACGGAACTTTGCCATCCTGCATCTGCTCCTGTCGGACCTTGTTCGCGAATGGCAGCACCTTTTCAGCAGGATTCAATTGTGAGCCGTAACCTAATGAGAATTTGTCAGCTTGGGACTTGCTCGTCGAGACAAGGCTTTGTGCACTTGCGCCTTTCGAAAGACCTACTTACTTAGTATACCATGTTGCAGAGGGTACAATGCATCATATGCAGTCTGATTAAAGGATGAATTAGGATCCAGAAGCTTCCTTATACCACCTAGCTGGGCGATCTTCTCTGTCCATTTGAGTGTGGGCAAGAGAGCCTCCGCGCGCTCAGCTGGGGAGAGAGCTTTGTTTTTCCAGGCTTCGTTGTTTGCGCTCGGGGCGGCGATCACATGGTACGCCAAGGACCCAGTAAGAGCTAGGCTCGTCACGGAGAAACGGACCATCTCGCCAGGCTGTTGAGGGTGACTTGTGCAGAGGCGCTGACAGCTGGATTCTTGGGGGAGTTACTGTTAGTGGTTGGATGTATCCATGGGATGACATTCTTCTTATACTTTTCTTCACAGGCCAATGCAGCAGAGTTGCTAATGCTAGTTTCACTCTTTCAAGGTACATCGGTATAAAGCTGGGGCATATGGCCTTAGCTTGCTTGTCTCATTTCTGCAAAGATGACGAATCAATTTATGAAGCGAGCTGAGCCAGGTCCGTTCCGCCAAGGTTGAGCGGATGGCGACGATCCTGTCTATGGCCATATGCATGATCCTTTTCTTGTGAGTCCGGAGATGAATCTGTGGTATTACCTACGAATGTGATTCGATAGACTGATTATCTGAGGATATAAACCGACAACCGGACGGTGTTGCGATATGTTCAATTGACTCAGTGACTGCCAACGTGAGATGAGCCTGGAGGCTCGTCGCTCGGACAAGACATATCCATCTTAGTTTCTTTTCTGAACCAATTGCAATCTAGTCAAGGTGGTATTGACCGACTACCGAACCCCAGATCAGATGCCCGAGTACGTGTATCTCGGCCGGATTTACCAGAAAAGGTTAAGCCATTTTCAAGGACATCGGCCCTCGAAAGACGCAAACGCAATCACAGTCATAGTCCGCGTGGATGGTTCATTTTCGTCGCCGAATTTGCTTCGGGGCTAAAACTCTTTCGAAGGAGCCACGAGTTCTGGGTGAAGTGCCGATTCTTGTTCACCTTCTTTGAATAAGAGTTATTTAAACGAAAACGAGGTTGATCGGTTGCTACAAACCGAGCATCATGTAAGATAGGGCTAGCCTAAATTACGCCATACCTAGCCTGGCATGATGGCTCGTGATTGTCCTTGATACCATATTATCTCCGTGAGTTACATCTCCCAGCAACACTCATTCGTAGGATGTAATAATTTCTGAGTAGATCTACAGGAAGCAGTGGGTCAAGTACAATATAAGAACGGCACGCGTTTCCCGCCAGACTGAGTAGCAACGATGTTATTGGAAGATTATATGGCTTAGCCCTCAAAGTCAAAGCAATGTTTAATTGAAGTGGTCGTAGCATTTCTTGGACGAGATGACCTGCACTTTTGCCGATAGCACGGGCGCAACATATGGAGTCAATAAGATGAATTGTCGTTCACGTGCTTGCGCCCAATTCCACGAGTTGATCCTCCAGGAGCCATGCCCAGTCTTGGGGAGCCCACCATGCGAAGAGACCAGGCACAGCAGGGCTGCGAGTGCTCGTTGGCTCTTGGCCATGAGGTTTGGCCGTATGAGCTCGAGGCTTGTCTTTGGTAGGCTGATTAATGGTTGTAGAGTAACTTTTCGGCCGGGGTTTTGCTGACTGCGATCTTGCGGTCGTATCAGCAGTAGCGGTCGATGCACCAACGACGCGAGGTCTCTCCTCTTGAGAAGTGCCATGGTTGCACCGTGTGGAAGGACTTTGTTGGTTGTTCCCCGTCGAAACGGCCGGGTGCCGAGGTGCGTCAGAACTAGGAGTTACTTCGTCAATATGGGAGCTGTGGTACTCTTCTTCGTCGCTTTCAACATTTGTCAATTCAGCCCGGCGCAAGAGACTGTGTACAGCTAAGCGCTGTCGAGCACGCACGGCTTCGGAAAAATGACCGTCTGATCTGCTTTGACTCTGTAGCGAGGACAGATGATGGATCTCACTCTGCAGAGTCAGACCCTCTCCGGGTTCGCCGTTGACCGTCGGTGCAGTGGCTGGGCTGGAATCGGGTGTGCATATCTCGTTGGCTGTAGTACCTGAGAAGCCTGGTTGGGTCTCATAAGATGGAGTTCCTGTAAGAGGTGTTGCGTTTGCTGCGGCAGCTGACCCCTGGTTCGCTGCCACGTGAATAAATCCAGCGGTCCCTGATTGATCGCTAGGAAGGTTTCGTTTATTCTTTTGCTGCTCTGAGAAGATGGTGATGGACTCCTCCAGTTCCCTAATGATAGGAGTCACGAGTGCCGAGAATCGGAAAAATCTCTTGAGCGCAGCTAGGCAAAGCTCGGCACGGCTAACAGCGAATTCCGGTGACGGCCGAGCGGG